ACCATTAATTCATCCAACCATTCATCCATTTATGCATCCATTAATTCCTCCAACCATTCATCCATTTATGCAACCATTAATCCATCCAACCATTCATCCATTTATGCATCCATTAATTCCTCCAACCATTTGTCCATCAATCTATGAAGTCATCGATCCATTTATCCAACAATCCATTCAACCATCCAACCATTAATGCATCTGTCTATCTATCCATCCATCTATCAATTCATCCATCCATTCATCTATCTATCTATCTATCTATCTATCTATCTATCTATCTATCTATCTATCTATCTATCTATCTATCTATCTATACAACCATCCATCTAGTAATTCATCCAACCATACATCCATTTATGCATCCATTTATTTATCCACCCATCTATTAATTCATCCAACCATCCATCTATTTATGCATCCATTTATTCATCCATCCAACCATTCATCCATCCATCTATTTAACCATTGGCTGGTGGGGGATCAGAGCCCGGGACGTTTCCAGATTAATTTCCTCAGTTATACAGGATTTATCTCCTTTTTATTACATCTAGTAGCTGCAGATCTTGAGGATCTCTCTGTGTTTGAGGCTTTTTCCAGTTTGTGCTGTTTGTCCTTGACTCCTTTGCACTCGTCATCGTCCACCCGGAGGTGAAGAACTGGATAAAGTACGCTCGCTTTGAGGAGAAGCACGGCTACGTGGCCCACAGCAGGAAGGTGTACGAGCGGGCCGTGGAGTTCTTCGGGGAGATGTATGTGGACGAAAACCTCTTCGTGGCCTTCGCCAGGTTCGAGGAGACGCAGAAGGAGGCGAGTGTTCCCCAAACGGCCTTCAGAGAAAAGTACCGATACTCAAAAAAGTATCGATACTAAAACGTTGTATCCGGATACGATACTCTCTGATTTGTTTATTTATTTATTTACGTTGTTTATGATCATTAACGTAACGTTAGCCTTGAATTGCTAGTTGTGGCTAACTGCTAATGGCTAATAATAACACACCAACATTAATCAAGCCAAGGATGGATATCCGACTCCGCCCACATCCAAGTCGGCCATTTTGATTAGGTCACCAATAGGAAGATCCCAGGCAAGAAAATCCTAATTGCTTCATGGAAATATAGACATTAATTTAAAAATAGTGAAATGAATCTTGCAAACACTGAATTAAACTCTATCCATAATATTATGTTAAAATAGTGGATGTTAAATAGGTTTGTACAATAAGTCCAAACAAGTTTAACCAAGAAATATTTATTTCTCACAATTATGAAGGCTGGAGGGTTAGGGTTAGGTTCAGGGTTAGGGTTAGGGTCATTAATGTGGGCCACCATAACATCAGTAACAGGTCAGTTTGAAACCAAAGACACTAACCTGTCAAAATTCAGTTACATTTTGGGGTCTTTGTTTTTATCCTTGTGGTATCGAAAATGGTATTGAGTATCGAGTATTTTCCTGAGTATCGGTATCCAGTTAAAATGTTAGTATCGTGACAACCCTACTACAGAGAAAGTCCTGTCCTTTGTGTTGTTGGTTCTGACTGTTTGTGTGTGTTTTTTTTTGTTGGCGTCGGCAGTTTGAACGCGTCCGAGTGATCTATAAGTACGCTTTGGACAGGATCCCCAAACATCAGGCCCAGGAACTCTTCAAGAACTACACCATGTTTGAGAAGAAGTTTGGAGACCGCCGGGGCATCGAGGACGTGATCGTCAATAAGAGAAGATTCCAGTATGAAGAGGAGGTTAAGGTAACAGGAAACAGGCTCAGACATGTTGGGTTATTTATGAAATAAAGCTAAATCAGGAAATGACAGATTTTAGTCCAGATTTAGAGTTAAGTTAAGAAGGGAAAGAAGGGATTTTTAACTCACTGACTGCCAGCCATTTTCAGAATAGAGAATCGCTCACTGCCAGAGTTTTTTTTAGCATTTTGACTGATTTTTCAAGAGCCACAGAATAGTTTGTGCTATGACTATGTAAACACCGAACACACCAAAAGAAAGAGTAGACTCTCTTCTTTCACCAGGAAAAAAAATGTGTTTCTACCTTATTCCGTTCTTCTTCGACGTGCGTCTCATCGGCGCCATTTCTCACATAGCGAACCATTGCGTTTGTTTTTATTTGCCTACAATCTATGCTCATCTCCCATCAAAAGTGGCACTGCCCCC